TGCAGGGGCGGCTGCTCCAGGGGCCAGGGGCAGCTGCAGCAGCGGCGGCTGCTCCAGGGGCCAGGGTGCCGCGGCGGGCAGGGGCGGCGGCGGCTGACACGGCAGCGGCGGCGGCGGCTGCTGGTGTCGGCGGCGGTGGCGGCTGCTGCTGTCGGCGGCGACGGCTGCTGCTGTCAGTGGTGGCGGCGGCTGCTGCGGCCGGGGCAGGGGCGGCGGGGGCGGACACGGCAGCGGCGGCGGCGGCTGCTACCGTCGGCGGCGGCAGCTGCTGTCGGCGGCGGCGGCGGCTGCTGCGGCCGGGGCAGGGGCGGCGGCGGCTGAGAAGGGGCCGCTGTGCCGCGAGGGGCCGCGAAGGGGCCGTGAGGGGCCGCGAGAGGGGCCGCGAAGGGCCGCGAGGGGCTGCGAAGGGCCGCGAGGGGCCGCGAGTGAGCCGTGAGAGGGGCGGCAGCGGCTGAGAAGGGGCCGCGGGGCCGCGAGGGGCCGTGAGAGGGGCCGCGAGGGGCCGCGAGGGGCCGCGAGGGGCCGCGAAGGGGCCACAAGGGGCCGTGAGAGGGGTCGCGAGGGGCCGCGAGGGGCTGCGAGGGGCCGCAAGGGAGCCGCGACGGGGCCGCGAGGGGCCGTGGGAGGGGCCGCGAGGGGCCGCGAGGGAGCCGCGAAGGGGCCGCGAGGGGCCGTGAGAGGGGCCGCGAGGGAGCGGCTAAGGGGCCGCGAGGGGCCGTAAGAGGGCGCGACGGGCCGCTAAGGGCAGGGGACGCGACGGGAGGGCAGGCACACGGGGCGCGACTCGGGCAGGGGCGAAGCGCGCTCCGGGCAGGAAAAAAAAAATTCGATTTCCGGTGGGCCCTAGGAAACGTTCCCACTAGGGAACCTGCTCTATACCATGTGAAAGAATGAGGAATGAATACGCTGGGGAGGTCCACCTCTCCCAGATCAATACGCCCCTGACAGACCCGAGCCAATACCAGAAGAGTCAGAAGAAGAGGAGACCTACGAATTTATGGGAGAACCAACGGAGTTGCCCGAACCTACCGAGGAGCCGGAGCCGCCAGTCCAAGGACCACAAGAAATTGAGGTCATCGGCGCTGAATACAGCTACTTCAGAATCCCCATTACGGGACTCCCAGTTCGAGAGTGGCCCAACCACTGCCTGCTCGTTACCGGAGACCAAGTCGAAGCCGGCGACACCGACGACATCGTCGGGATTCCCCGCTCGCTTCTGGAGCGAAAAGCAATTCGCGCGCTCGCCGCCGATACCGACAACGCCGCCGACGCAGGACATGAAGGGGAGGGAAACGACGAAGCAGCGCGACAAAAATATTATCAGAAGACGGTCGGTTACCGTGCGGACCCAGAAACATGGCACCAACGGCTCGGCCATCCCTCCCACGCCACGCTCAAAAACTCGCTCAAGGCCAGAGTCTTCGACAACGACGCGCTCCTCCTTCTTCGAAACGGTTCCCTCACCGCGGACTCACCTAACCCGCCGTGCATCGTCTGCCCAACCGCGTCGCTCAACCACCAGCCGTTCCCCGATTTGCCCCCAGGGTATGAACGCTACAAGCCGCTGGACAAGGTTTACAGCGACTTTATGGTGCTCAGCCAGGAAGGGCTCGACGGGGAGCAGTATACACTTACTTTCATCGACGCATCTACTCGCTACGTCTGGGCCGTCAACACCGACAGCAGGTCTCTGGCCTTCGAGTGCTTCATTGCGTGGATGAAGCGGACTGAGCGACAGTCCGGTCTCAAACTCAAAACCTGGCAGACGGACGGAGCCCTGGAGTTCTTCTCAGACGAGTTCAAGGAGCTCCTCAAGCAGAAGGGGATTGAGCACCTGGTGTCCCTGTCCTACGCTCACCAACAGCAAGGAGTAGCAGAACGAACAAACAGAAGCCTCGCCAAGTGGATGAGGGCTCTGATGAAGCAGTCGGCCATCCCAACAAAATATTGGCCGTTTGCGATGAATCACGCTGTTCGGCTGCACAACTTGCTGTCCTCGCGAAGCCTCGAGAACAACAACTCTCCCTACCGGGCATGGACGGGCAGAAAAGCAGATACACGCCTGCTTCGGGTGTTTGGCTGCATGGTACAGTACAGACCCCACACTGCGAGAACCGGAAAATTCGCTGACCGGGCACGATGGGGCATCCACCTCGGGATCGAGAAGGAATTCAAGGCGTGGATCGTGCTGGACTACGCGACACACGAGGTGACGAAATCATGTGACTGCATCTTCTACGAGAAGCTGACTCTGCCCCTTTTTAAGGAGCACCAGGAAGCCGACAAACTTCCCGAGAGGCTCTTCGAGGGCCACCGCAGTTTCGCCACGTCACACGACGAAGCTGACCTGGCCGAGGATGCAGACGCACCTGATGTCACCCCAATGGACTCCGCTCCGAGCATCCCCCTCACAAGCCAATTCGGGACTCCGATATTCGTACCTCTACACCAACCCAATCCTGACGACATAACACGCGAGGCTCACAACTACAACAGTGAGGCACGCCGATCACCTGATGCCGAGTTACCACCGCCCAACACGTCGCAGGATACCCTCCGCCTCGGCAACGACAGCGATGACGACGTGGTCGAAGTTACAAGCTTCCACGACTACGGCCGACTTCACTACGAAAAGATTGACGAAACCGGTCTCCGCGTTCTCGGCCTCGCCGTCGCTGTTCGCCACAACTCGCCCAAGGAACCAACCACCGTCCGCCAAGCCCTGTCTGGCCCCGACAGTGACAAATGGAGAGCAGCCATGGCCGCCGAAATCGCGTCTCTAAAGAAACGTGGCACCTGGAAGCTGGTCCCCCAGTCATCGGCAAAGGGGAGAAAAATCCTCAGCGGCAAATGGGTTTTCCGCATCAAAACTCTCGCAGACGGCTCGGTCGACAAGTACAAGGCGCGTTGGGTGGTACGGGGATTTGAGCAAACGCACCTGGTGGATTTCACTCTCACCTACGCTCCAGTCGGCCGCCACACCTCGGTGCGCATTCTCATCTGCATCGCCGCCGTCAAACAGCGACCGCTTCGGCAAATCGACGTCGGCAACGCCTTCCTATACGCTCCCGTCGATGCCATCATCTTCGTCGAGCAACCGCACGCATTCGAAGAAAACGATGGCGCCGTGTGCCTCCTCCAAAAATCCTTCTACGGAATCAAGAAGGCACCTCGTCTGTGGCAGCAGTACCTCCATTCCATCCTCCTTGAGCTCGGTTTCACTCAACCGCCGCACGATCTCGGAATGTACAGGCGGGAATCACGCGGGAAATTTATCCTCCTCGTCGCCTACGTCGACGACCTCCTCTACACCGACGACGACACGGAGCTGCTGGACCAGTTTGAGGCTGACATCAAGGAGAAGCTGGAGGTGACAGTAAACCACAACGTCACCCAGTTTCTCGGCCTCAATGTGACTCAGTCCGCATCCTCCATTCACCTCTCCGCCGCCAAGTACGCCGAAACACTCGCAAAGCGATTCACCATCGCACCGATCAACCTCACCACCCCTTATCGCACTCCTCCTCCTACCCACGAGCCCGACACCACACCTCTCTCTCCCGACAACCATCGTCTCTATCAGCAGCAGCTGGGATGTCTCCTGTTTGCCGCCGTCACGTGCCGGCCCGATCTCTCCTACGTCGCAAGCCAGCTCGCACAGTACCTGAAGCGACCTGAAGGGGAGAACCTACTGGATCTACGCCGAGCACTACAGTACTTCATCTCCACTCTCGACGTCGGTCTCACCTACGAAGCTAATCTCACCGCTACTCTACAACTCCATGGCTACGTAGATGCCAACCACGCTGGAGATGTCGACAACCGACGCTCCCGCACAGGATTCATTTTCCAACTCCAACCAGCGGGACTCATCTCCTGGAACTCCCAGAAACAGGAACTCATCGCTCTTTCGTCAGCAGAAGCAGAATTCATCGCAGCCAGCGCAGCTGTTCGCGAAGGACTGTACCTGATGGAGCTCCTGCAGGGGGCGAAAGTGACGATGAACGGGCACATCACGTTACTCTGCGACAATCAGAGCGCGATAAAGATCGCGAACAAGCCCGGCTTCATCAACCGCACCAAGCACATCGCCCTTCGCTACTTCTTCGTGAAGGATGAAATCGACAAGGGGAAAGTCAAGCTGACGTACTGCCCGACCGGTGACATGGCAGCTGATTTCCTGACGAAGAAACTGCCACGTCAACAGTACCAACGCTGCACCGACCTCTGCGGGATCGCCAAGAAATCCCACGTGGCCCACCTTCAGGAATGAAGGGGAGTGTTGAAACAACCGAAAGGTTATATAAAGCATTCCCAAAGCTGCTCCACTGTACTGGTACCGCAATAGCTCATATAGAGCATGCGGAATGTCGAGGGTCACCCGAAGGTCAACCGTCTGAGGAAGTCAACGGTCGTGACCTTTGACGATCCAGCAACCGCGCGATAGTTAACTCACTGCAACATGGTAACTGTCGAGGATAGCAATAGTCGCGGTTACTGTAGCTATACAATACAGTTAATAAGGGAATGTACCCCTCAGAGTACATGGCTAGCTAGATTTCTATTTAATCCCTTGTACTCCTATATTTCAATCATCTTGTTTTCTTTCAATTATTATTCAACAAGGTCACTACAGAGGCTTCACTGTCTCCTCCCAGACTTCTGAGATCCTATCCTGTCTACTGAATCCTCTGGTTATATCTACATGATGCATTATCCATCTGAGTACCTATGGCATCCCCTAAAGTACGTAACACAACATGACATTCTTACATTACAAAACATCCACCCACCAATCGCAGTATGTATGTATGGTACAAACTATGGCATGAGGGACCCAAGTGTCTCTACAACCTGCACATGGAGCAAACAAAATGCATAATGCCATGTTGGTTAGAGCAAAAAACCGTGTCTGGAGTTCGACACGCTATTGCACATTCATCTACAATCCGCTGCCACTAACCTGTTCCGTTGTGGGTCTCTTGGACGGGAATCGGGATTCACTGAGTGCACCGAAGAGCCAACTCTGCCAGCCCTTCCACCTGGAGAAAGAGGGAGGAGGGTGCGGAAGGGGTGAGCAAGGGTTTGAGACATCCGAAATCTCTTACAAACGGATTTGACTGGGTGCACCCAAGAGCCAGCCCTGCCAACCCCTCCACCTGGAAAGGTGCAAAGCCCACGCAAATAGTTTGCATGCCATTTCTTGCTGATTTGAGTCACTGTGCGTTGGCAATGAAAAAAAAAGGTAAGGGTTTCAATGGCATCTGAGTGGAGGCAGCAGGCAGAAGGCAGCAGGCAACGCACCTCGTGAGGGTTGAACTCGTCTGCAAGCTGTGGGTCCACCAGCGCTGCCAGGTTGTCCCGCCACCCACAGCTTCTGCCGTGCCTGCTGTTTGGGACGTGGTGTAGAGGGGAGGAGAGGCCAGGCCACGGAGGAGAGCGGTCAGATAGAGGGGAGGTTATGAGGGAAATAGGTGGGTGGATGAGGGAACAAGGGGAGAAGATGTGGGGCAGAGAGGGGAGGAACAGGCAGGGTGGAGTAGGGAAAAGGATGGAGCAAAGGAGCAGGTGGAGGGGGCAGGAGGGGGGACAGTGTAGGGAAGAAGAAAGAGCAGGAGAAAGGCTTATTGCAAAGCGTTGGAGAAATGTGCAAGTGGCAAGCAGAAGCTCACCCATTCAACGAGCGAGGCTGGCATGCGGCGTGGGTAGTGTGGGTGCTGCCCTAAGATGATTTCAAACACCACCACCTTGAACGCAAACACGTCTGCCGCCTCCATGCCCCCCTGCCCCTTGCCAGCTGTAGCAGTCACGACTGTAGTAGCGGCTGGAGGGGAGGAGGAGGCAAAGGGGCTGCGGGGCTTGGTGGGGGAGGAGGCAAGACGCTCTGGAGCGGCATAGCTGATGGGGGGGTCGATGTGGAGAGAATGGAGGGAAGGGAAGAGGTAAGGGAGAGGATTGGAAAGACGAGAGAGAGATATGGGGTGTGCAATTGACCTACACGGGTGGGTGTGGAGGATATTTAATTTTCCCTGTCGAAATTTGTGGTTGTTGAGGGTCACTCACGCATCAAGGTACTTGTCTTCTGTAGACCGCTCTTCTGCATCCCCATTCCCATTTCTCCCACCACCATCCGCATTACCAGCAGCACCAGAAGCACTACTAGCACCACCAGCACGCACCACCAGCACTAGCAGCGGCGGAAGCAGGGGTGTGTGGGGTGAAGTGGGGCATGCCAAAGTTGGAGAGTTTGGGCGCCACGTGGCGATCCATGAGGACAGCACGCAAGCTCATACGGCCGTGCATGATGGGCGAGTGACAGAAGGAATGCAGATGCAGCAGTCCCTCTGCTACTCCCTCCACGACTCGTATGCACACCTCCCACGGGAGGACTGGCACCGCCTCGTCTGCACGAAGGAAGGCGAGGGGGTGAGTGTTTGCAAAAGAAAGAGTGAGTACAGTTCACGCACAGGTGCAGCCCCTTCGCCATGCCTTCCACCATCCGAGCACGCACCTCCCAGGGAAGTACACGGGTATGCAGAGGAGAGGACATGTGTGAGCTTAACACATGCACCCAAAACACACATCCCAACCACGTGGTACACCCACACTCACCGTCGGTGTGCAGGAGGTGAGAGAAGCGAGGGGAAGGGGATGTATTTGAATACAAGGACACTGTAGTCCAGGCCAATGCCGCACCCTAGCATCGTTGTCAGGTCCGGATGGTGCACCTGGAGGGAGGCAGCGTGAGGGCAAGGGGGGGTGTAGAGAGCGGGGACACATAAGGAAGGTGAGGAGCTGCATTGTAGTCATGTCCGATGGAGCACCTGCATGTGGAGCATAGAAGGGGTAAGAAGGAGCTATAAAACAGACATCAAGGACCAACACCACTCTCAACTCCCCTTTTTACATCCCTCCCACTCCTCATCTGGGCAAGTGCCTCGGCAACGGTCTGATTCACCCACTCCTCGCCACTCCCACTCTGCTGCACCACCATCACATCACTCCCCGCGCCCAGCGTGCCTTGATACACCTCCCCCAGGTACCTCTTCCGCATCCACCGCTTCTTGCTGAACCCCTTAGTCCCCTCCACCAGGTCGAAGTAGGAGAACTGCGACTCGTACAACGGTGCCACTTCTAACGGCGAATCCTCCGCGTGTTCATCCTCGCATATATCCACTATCGAGACAGGCTTTCCAGGGTTGGAACCCATGGAGCCCATGCCGCCCATGGAGGTTGAGATTGGCATAGCACCAGAAGCAGCAAAGAGGGCAGAAACTGCCGAAGGAGGGGCGGAGGAGGGGGAGCGAGAGATCGACAAATCGGAAGAGAGTAGAGGCAGAGCCAAGTCCGCCCAGATCTCGCTCAGGAGCGGAGCATTGGGAGTTGGACTACGTGGGGAAAGCACGAGTGGTGCTAATGATCATAGCTTTGCTTGTGTTCTCTCTACTTGCGCATTCACGGGGAGAATTGGTAAGAGTTTCACTAGCAAAAGTTGGATACACAATGATGCAAAAAACAATGGCAACAATGACTACATCAGTGGCCTAGCAACCTAGCATACTGGCAGGTCAACCTCCAGCGTAGCACGCAGTTGGCTTGCCAGCATGGCAAGTCGGCGGCCTACCAGCGCAGCTCGAAGGTGGCTTGCCAACACTGCAAGACGGCGACGTGTCAGTGCCACACCAGCGCATCTTGTCAACGCTGCAACCGCGGTTGACTATAGCGCACATGCGCCCGACCAAGTCGACGGTCGTGCACGTCGTGCTTCGCCCCACACACCACGCAGTCGCCAAGTTGGCCACGTGCAGTCAGTTGCACTAAATGCACCACGTCGACCTTGGGATACCAACACGCAGGTCGACTTCGCCAAAACCTCCTGGCGACTTTCGCGCACCCTTGCAGAACTTCGTCGACCAGGTAACCAAGTAGACCAGGAAATATCCCCAGCGCCCACAAGTCGGCGCCCCCAGGTTGTCAAACACCTTCGTCGACCGCCCGGTCGAAGTCGGCTACCAGCTTCACATTGATGACTTCACATTGGTGCCGCGGAAGTCGACCAAGTCTGTCGACTTCCTCTCCCAAGTCGGCGTCGACCATTGACTTCAGCCGGCTGCGCCTCCAGCACTCCTAACCACGAAGTCGGCTTCGCCCAAGCGAGGGCGGGGTCATTACCCGTCAACATAGTCCTTGTAAAGATTATGCAGCAGAAGACGGGAATTCCTGTGCTAGTAGTTGTGAGAACAATGAATATTAATAATAAGAAAGTACAAGAAATATATAGTCTAGAAAAGTACCTATTTATAATGTACGTGTTCACTAACCAGGCTGTTTTATCGAGTCGACTCTGAAGCCACAGTGACATTCACCTATAATAATATTACGATACTACCGTAGTAACTCTCGATCAAACTACTGAATTGCTAAGTACTACTATAAAAACCAACACTCCCCTTCAATTCAGGAGTTTGATGTTATCAGTGTTGTTGACGTGGCCGAGTCCAGTCATCAGCATACATACTGGAACTGTGGAAATAACGAGGAATGAGAATGACTAAGGGAAAGTTGGGTACAAGTACAAACCCTAGAAAAACTGTACCCCATATGTGCTACCCCACTATAGCCTACAGCAGTTATGTCATACAAATCTGACACACCCCCATAGGCAAAGTGGGGGAGAACAAGGGGTCACAAGACCAGTCAAGCAAAGCAAGGCAAGCTCAGGGTGGATCACAAAGTCACCACACATTCCGAGCACATGTTCAAGGCCAGAAGGCCAGTTCACATGCAGGATTACATATATATATAAGGCTAGACAAGCAAGAGCAGGTGTATATATATATGTAACAGTACAAACAAGGTCAAGGGGTGAGCAAGTGAGGCAAGGCAGGCACAAGACCAAGCTGAGTACAGAAGCGCTGATGATCACAAGGCGCAAGTGCCTTGGTGAAGATATCAGCAGTGTTGGCCTGAGAGGCCACGTACGCAAGACGCAGCTGACCACGCTGCTGTAGCTCACGAGCAAGGAAGTAGCGAAGAGCAATGTGCTTTGTTCTGTGCTCCAGTCGCTGCTCTCGACACAAGGCCAGCATGGCCTTGTTGTCTACGTACAGGACTGGAGGAGAACGAGGCGGCTCTCCGAGGTCAGTCAGCAGGTAGGTGAGCCAGCGAAGCTCCTGTGCAGCCATGGCTCCTGTGTAGATCTCAGCCTCACAACTGGAGCCGAGAACAGAGGACGAGCGGGTAGCCCGCCACGAAACAGAGCCGGAACCAAGGCTGAAGGTGTAACCCTGTGACGACCGCTGCGTAGCCTGGTCGTCAGCCCAAGAAGCGTCTGCGTGCCCAGTGAGGACCACTGGACTCTGCCCTCCAAGCACAAGCCCCATGCCCGACGTACTGCACAAGTAGCGCAACACCCTCTTCGCTGCAGCCATGTGCTCCGGTCTGTGTCTCCCAGGAGCAACATAGCGTGCGAGAATGCTAAGAGGGTATGCAAGGTCAGGTCGTGTGCAGGTCATCAGGTACATGAGGCAGCCAACAAGCTCTGGGTACGGGCCACTCGACTCTACGGACTCATCCGAAGGCAGAGCTGAGAGCGAGTGGCGAGTAGGCAGAGGAGTGGCCTGAGGCGAGGAGTACGTGAAGCCGAAGCGCTAAAGGACCTGCTGCACCATGTGTGACTGAGTCAGGGTAATGGTGCGGCGTGCTCTGTCCCGGGTGATCTGCAAGCCAAGGTAGCTGCGCAGTTCACCCAGGTCTGTGCACGTGTGTCTCTTCTGCAGCTCGGACTTCACGTGGGCGAGTCCAGCAGTGTCAGCTGTGGCAAAGACCAAGTCGTCGACGTACACGAGGATGTAGAACGGCGGCAAAGAAGTGTCGGTGCGCAGAAACAGCGACGGGTCAGCAGTAGAGGGAGCAAACCCAAGAGCCGCAAGTGTAGTCCTCAGTGTGTCGTGCCACTCACGTGGTGCCTGGCGGAGACCGTAGACTGGCCGCCGGAGGCTCCACTGGGTGCCAGGAGGAAAAGACCCAGTGAAGCCAAGTGGGCGACGCAGCCAGATCTCCTCGTGCAGGCTGCCCTGCAAGAAAGCCGTGCTGAAGTCAAGAGAGTGCAGCTCGTAGTCACGGTGAGCAGCTATGTGCAGCAGTACCCGAAGAGTGGTCATCTTCGGGGTGGGAGAGAAGGTCTGAAATTAGTCAACTCCCTGCCGCTGACTGAAGCCACGAGCCACGTAACGCGCCTTGAAGACAGGCGGAGAACCCGGCGGCCGCTTCACCCTGAAAATCCACATGCCACTGACAATGTTCGCCCCAGGTGGGGGAACCTCGTCAACGTAGGTGCCTGTGGACTTCCAGGAAGCCATCTCTGCGTCCATAGCTGCCTGCCACTGAGAGGAGTAGGGACCCTCTATCGCCTCCGCGTAAGAGCGCGGAGTCGGGATGTCAAGTGCATCCGGGTCTCCCTCAGGGGTAAGCAGTACGGACACGAGATGAGGTGAAGCAGCAGCCAAACACTGGAACTCCTCCTGCCTGTCCTCAAGGACGTCCGTGCCAAGGGCACACTCACCCCCGACGGACAGAGGACAGACAGACTCAGACTCAGCAACAAGACTAGCAGCGTAGTCTAGACGACAGCGAGCAGCAAAGTCGACGAGCTCAGTAACTAGGGCAGACGCAGCAGTGGACTCAAAGGAAGGGTCAGTGACAACAGTAGCAAGGAGACGCGTGACAGTAGGACTGGCAGCACGAAGAGAGTCCGACTCCGGGTCGGGAAGAGCAGGAAGAGAGGACTCAGGAGGAGAAGGCAAAGGGGCACGCAGAGGAGCAGTGGACGGACGCAGAGACATCCGGTGCGTGCTAGGGACAGGAGGAGGACGCTGACGCGAACCACGACCACTAGTGCGAGCAGCACGGACAGGCGACGCAGGGCGAGACGCAGGCTCACGACGCTCAGCAAGACCTCCAGTAGGACCATTGTAGGGAGAAGGAGCAGGCAGTGGGCACGTACGGGCGACGTCCATGACCATGCCAATGCGGCGCTCAGCAATCCCATTTTGCTGTGGAGAGTCCGGAAGCGTGAAGGTCTGGCGGATGCCTCGTGCACGACAGTAGGCTCGCAGAAGGCCAGAGGAGAACTCTCCGCCTCTGTCAGAGTGCAGACGCAAAACAGGAAAGTCCGAGCCGAAGCTCTGCCTGAGCTGGAGACGAGCTGCGCGGATCCAGTCGATCAACACCTCAGTGACATCACCCTTGCTGCGCAAGGGGAAGACTGTGGTGTAACGCGAGTAGTCGTCAACCACCAGCAGGAAGTAGCGCTCGTGACCCTGTCCACGGACGCGGGCCGGGCCCCACACGTCCATGTGAAGCGTCTGCAGCGGGGCCTCTGTCGGAGGAAACTGGGAGGAGTGAGGGGCAGCCCGCTGCCGCCCCTCGACACAGGGGACGCAGGTAGGGGCAGGCCCCGGAGGAAGGGGAGGGAGGGACCGGGGAAGACCAGAGACAAGGACACGGGAGGCCATGCCTCGGAGACGAAGCAGGGAGGGGTGACCAAGGCGGTGGTGCCAGAGGAGAGTCTCGTGAGACAGGAGGCGACACGAGCAGGGGGCAGACTCAGGACCAGACCTGGACGCCGCAGTAAACACCTGACCCGACCCAGCTACCTGACCAGACGCAGTGACTGGAGGAGACACAGTGGTCAGTGTGTACAGGCTCGACCCCGGCCGACGTGTAA